TATATATATATAATATATGTAGCGTGTTTCTCATATATATTATTGGTGATTGACCTTATCTGGCGGATACAAACATACTGGGGCGTTGGCTGGTGCTCTGATGTGGTTTGCTCCTTCTTTCCTATCATACGACTATCGTCTTTATCTCTCCTCCTTTTTATGTTTGTTACTCTCTTGTAACACTTTTGATCTTCGGCACTTTTATGGCCTAATTTGTGTTGCAAGTGCCGTAAAACTCTTACTAGAACAAAAAAGCAACTTTACTAATTTCCCTTGTCATTGCTTTATGTTACAAACAATATGGGTAGGTGGTGGGCGGGTGCTCTGGGGTAGTTTGCTCCCTCTTTCCGATCAAACGCCTCTCTTCCTTATCGCTTCTCCTTAACGGGTAGTTGGAGGGGCTTCACTGGTAGGTCCTACTTCTTTCCTCTGCCCTCTGTCTGTGTCTTACTTCTCCCCAGCACTAAATTACCTTTATTGTGTCCATGTACTTCTTTTTGCTCAGACAAACCTCTCTCCTTTAAAAAAAAATTTTTTATTTTATTATTTTCTAAATACGACTAATCTTTGGGACTGATATGACCTATCTGAATTGCAAGTGCCATAAAACTTACTAAAGCTGAACAATATGGCTTGCCACCCTTTTGTTTGTATGTTGTTTTTGAACTTGTTTTGTTGTTGTTGTTTGTTTGTTTTTTTGGAAGTGGGGGTTCCCCTTTTTATTAAGTAAACCTTTTCCTCTTGATGTTCTATTTTTGTATTTGCTGAAATCCCATCTTACCAGTCCGCTCCTTCTTTTAATTATTATTATGTTGAGTGGGGTTTGATTCTTCTTTCTTCACCCCCTCCCGCGTACCCAAGGTTCTTGCAGCCTGCAGCATTCTCTAAGGGTTTTGTTGTTTGTTTTTTTCCCCCTTCCGAACTGTTGTAATGAGCGGTCAGGAACACATTGAGCCGAGGCGCTCGGCATCATCGAGCAAGACGTGTTGTTATTGTGTTGCAGGAAGGACCTCCCAGCTAGATCTAGCGGGGCCCGGTCTCGTAGAGCCTCCCCTCCGGCCGTTCCCTTTGTCAGCTGCACTCTTGGAGAACTCAGAGTTCTTGGGGGAAAAGACAAACAATAATTGTATTGTATTGTTGACAAGGAAAAAAAACAAAGAACAGTTTAACTCTTTGAGTTTGTGCATTCTGGTCATCCAGCAACGCTTGAAGACTTATTCATACTAGGTGGTTGGTGGGTGGTCTTGTGTGGTTTGCTCCTTCTTTTCTATCAATCATTCTATCCCCCTTCTTTCTTTTTGTGTGGGTGGTTGGCGGGTGCTCTGGTGTGGTTTCCTTCTTTCATATCAAACATTTACCGTCCTTATCTCCCCTTCTTCTTTTTTATGTTTGTTACTCTCTTGTAACGTCTCTAATCTTCTAGCGCTCATTTGACCTTATGCAGTTGCGAGTGCCGTAAAACCTGTACTAAAACTAAAACTTTCTTTTTGTTCTTGTTACTTTCTCGTAACGCCTCAATCTTCAGTACTTAAACGACCTAATTGTGGGGCAAGTGCTGTAAGACGCTTACAAGACACGTTGTTTTGGAGCACTTTAATAAAAGAGAGGCTTTACTGCATTATACATACTTTTCTCTCAATTCTGTTTTCTTTATCTGAAAAGTGTAAAGGCAGGAAGAAAAATAGGACACCTTGAAATGCATAATTTTGAGTTCTGGTAAGGTTTGAAATTATTATGCCCCCAAAAATGCCTTTGATCTTATGCAATATGACATACAAATTTGAGTTCTGGTTAGGGTATGATGGTTCAAAATGTGCCCCC